CGGGCAAACTCCAAGCCGATGAACTTCTCCCATCATATTGCTCCACGTATCATCCCCTCCGAATATCAAACCATACAAAACTATGGTAAATTTACATCCCTTCTTTATTCGACCCTTACGACGGATGCTAATGAGTTCTCAGTACAAATAATATTTAGGTGTTTATCAAGGTAGGTATATCATTAAAAAAATTGTCAACTACTTATTTTTATTTTCTCCATACATTCATATTTCTTAATTATCATTTTTTAGTGGTCTTACCTATCGGCAAACACTTAAATTTTATTCTCATTTGAATAAAAACAAAGAGTGATGTTTAAATAACTTTTCTCGAGAAAGTTATTCCACTCTATGATGGATCTATTTGGATGACTAGTTCTAAGATTTCTTTACGAGAAAAAAGAGAATTTAAATGTTTATATATTATGTTTAAGGAGTGGATATATGAAATATGTTGCAGGTAAGAATTCATTCACGTGGTTTGGGCCGTATCCAAGAGTGCACATAATGGAGCCAGAAAAACTCAAAGATATATTTTCTCTAATTGATGATGTTCCTAAGCCAAATTTAAACCCCATGATCAAGCTACTTTTAGAAGGAATTGTAAGCTACCAAGGGGCAAAATGGGCCAAACACAAGAAGATAATTGCCCCTGCATTTCACTTCTTAAAGTTGAAGGTATTGAACATTATTAATTCTCATATTATTCCTTTTTCTTTTGGAGTTGCTGAATTCTAATTGTTAGATCCACACACATTTACAGGACATGGTACCAACATTCTTCAACACGTGTAACGAGATGGTTAGCCAATGGGAAAGATTAGTTTCAAARGACGGATCGTGCGAGTTGGATGTCATGCCTTATCTTCATAATTTAACGGCCGATATCATCTCTCGAACCGCATGTGGGAGTAGCTACAAGGAAGGACAAATGATCTTCCAACTTTTGAAAGAATTGATTGAGCTGGTAACTAAATCAGCATCTGGGTTTTATATTCCAGGATGGAGGTACGTAAAACTAATCATTTCTAATTTAAAATTTCTCTTCTCCCTGATCACAAGCTATTATTATTATTATTTTTGTGTGTGTGTGCAGGTTTGTACCAACCAAATCGAACAATGAAATGAAAAGATTAGACAGAGAAATAAGTAATTTGCTTTTGGGTATCATAAAGAA